CCAAGATGTTCATCTAAGGTCTTGCTATATACAAGTATGTCATCAAAGTAAACTACTACAAACTTTCCTATGCAATCCCTAAGAACATGATTCATTAGACGCATGAAAGTGCTAGGGGCATTAGTGAGGCCAAAGGGCATCAATAGCCATTCATACAAACCAAATTTGGTCTTAAAAGCGGTTTTCCACTAATCACTTTCTTTAATTCGAATTTGGTGATAACCACTTTTAAGGTCAATCTTGGAAAATATGATGGCTCCATGCAATTCATCCAACATATCATCTACCCTAAGGATTGGGCGCCTATACTTTATTGTAACGTTATTGATAGCCTACAATTGGTGCACATCCTCCATTTGCCATCTTTCTTGGGCACCAAAAGAACGGGGATGGCACAAGGGCTAAGGCTCTTTTGAACCCAACCCTTCTTCAACAAGTCATCAACTTGAGACTCTATCTCTTTGGTCTCTTGAGGGTTAGTCCTATAGGCGGGCCTATTTGGAAGACTAGCACCCGATATGAGGTCTATTTGATGTTCTATCCCTCTTAAAGGTGGAAGTCCACTTGGAACTTCTTGAGGAAATAGTTCATCAAACTCTTTCAAAAGTTTTTGAACCTCTTGAGGTAGAGACTCTTTGAAGTAGAGAAGGTACAAAGGTTGTTCAATCAAAAGTGTTTTCTTAATGTCATTCTTAAGGGATAAATGACTTTTGTGAACAACTTCTTTAGAGGGTACACTTGCCTCTAAACTTGGTACCTTCTCTTCCCTTTCTTTATTCTTTAGGGGAAGGTCTTTGTTTTCTTTCTTTTGTTTTCTCCTTTTTTATATCTTCATCATCTCTTTTGACTTTCATTTTGAGTTGGTCCTCATTCACTAGAGAAGGTGATAGAGGGCACAACACAATTTTCTTGCCTAAGTGATGGAAACTTATTTTGTTGGTAAGGCCATCATGAATAGTCTTTTTGTCAAATTGCCAAGGCCTTCCAAGTAGAATATGACTAGCATCCAATGGCACTATGTCACATAAAAATTCATCTTTGTATTTGCCAATGGAGATAGGTATATTCACTTGTTGATTAAATACAATACCTCCCTCCTCATTGATCCATTGTAATTTGTAAGGTTTTGGATGGGGTATAGTAGTTAAGGGTAACTTATCCACTAATCTAGTGCTACAACAATTACAACTAGATCCACTATCCACAATGAGAGAACAAGTATTTTCTAAAACTTTGCACCTTCCATGAAACAAGTTCTCTCTTTGGGATTGATCTAGATCACTAAATTAGTTTCCAAGAAGCCTTCTAACCATTAACAAGTCTCCTTCACAAGGGTAGCTTTCTTCCTCGGACTCTAAGATTTCTTCCTCATCACTTGAAGAAGAAGAAGTAGCTTCATCAAGGCTACTATAGTGGTCTTGGCCCCTTAAAATCATGGCTTTCTTTGTTGGGCATTAAGAGGCAATGTGCCCTCAACCAAGACACTTAAAGCACTTGATGTCACTTGTCTTAGTTTCTTTGGAAGATGTCCTATGAGAGGTTTTATCTTTTTCTTTTTCTTTTTCTTTTTCATTAGGAAAAGGTTTGGAAAAGGGGCCCTCCTTCTTGAAACTCTTAGAATAAGAGAGAGTGGAGTCTTTTCTAAAAGTTTTTCTCTTAAGTTGATGTTCCACTCTAGAACAAAGTTGAACAAGCTCATTCAAATCTCTATATGGTAAGAGTTCAACTTTGTCTCTTATTTAAAGGTTAAGACCACTTTGATTGTAACTCCATAGATTGTCTATATTCTTCCATACTAGATGACCCTTGTTTCAATCTTTTTAGCTTGTCCACAAGCTCACGGTCATAGTATGAAGGAATATGCCTCCTCCTCAAGGCACTACGGTCATAGTATGAAGCAACCTTTTTATTTCTTCATTATTTTTCTCATTTTCTTTTTCTCTTTTTCTTAACTCTTCCTCTCTTTTTATATTTTCCTCTTCTTTTTTTCTTAGGTACTCTTTTAATTCCCTAAGTTCATCCCTAACACTAGACCTAGTACTACAAGAATTATGACCATGTACACTAGAATGATCACTCATCTTTGATCAAAAAGGTTTTCACAAATTTGTTTTCAAAAAGGTTGGTGAAAACGTTTTCACAAAGAATGAGTGATAAAAAGGTTTTGACAAAAAGGTTTTCAAGGTGCAAGATTGGTATGAAAAGGCCTAAGTGTACAAAGTGAACTATCAAGGGAGGTGGACTACTAAGAATCACTTAAAAACCAAGTCTTTTCAAGTAAAAATCACTAAGCCTTTTCACACTTTTCTCACAAGAAACAATTTTGCACAAGACTAAAGTGTGTGGTGTGCATGACCCCCTAGTAGGCAAAATGAAGCCTTCTAAACACAACAACTAGATAAAATAAGTCCTAGGCAATTATACTACAAAGGTTATAAAGCATGCAAAGGAAAGCACTTAAACATATACTAGTCGGATTTCCTAGGTGAAGGTTTTCAAATCACCTTCAATCTACACGAAACTACCAAAAAAAATGAAGAGGTTTAAAAATGGCCAATTACAACCCAAAATAATGAAAAACAAGGCCCAAAATACAAGAGGCCAAAAATTGAGCAAAAGGAACAAGTAAGAAAGAAAGAAAATTAAAGGTCTTCAACTCCTCCAATTTGGCTTCCTTCACAAAGAACAAACTTGGTTAGTCCTCTCCTTTAGTGTTTACACTCCTTGAAGTATGGTAACCTTTCCAAGGTACTTGGGACCTTCAAGGATTTAATCTCCTCTCAATGCCCCAAAGAATTTTGCTAAGGGGTTTTGAGGTAGTGCTTCACCTACACCCAAAGACAACAAACCAACCAAGAGCAAGAACGAGGCCACTCAAGGGTGTTCTAGTTGGCTCTCTTCACCAAGCGGAGGTGAAGGCCAATCAAGGGAACACTAAACTCACTCTAGGGAGAGATAGGAGAGGTAGGCCGTGGAGACCAAGTGACTAAGGAAAGGATTTGAGGAAAAATGATATATAAAATTAATATAATAAAAAGTGTGTAAAAGGTGATAGGATAAGGGTAATTATAGGAGTGGGAAGGCATCTAGGGTTGCATTTAGGGTTACATGGCCGTGTAATGTAGCCCAAATGCAGCCCAAATGAAACCTAAATGAACCCTAGATGATGTGTGGGT